CGCTCAGGAAGCACGCTCTGTCTTTGGCTTTTCTTGCGATTTACTTGGGAATCGCGCTGTCGCTCGAGACTTCTCGCGATTTATGCAGGACCCACGCTTCAGCAACCTGCCTGCCCGACCTGGTCGCCTGGGCCCGCCTTCCCGGCCTGCTCGCTATGGGTTTGCCCACCCGCTCTGCCCGTCTGGTTCTACCACTTGTTTTCTGCCCCTTGCCCGAACAGTCTTAAACTGATGGTTGTTGAACACTCATTCCTAAAGAGTGATTATTGCTGACCTCCGGAAGCGGTTCCGCGCGTTCTCGCCTCGACGCCGGCTAGATTTCTTCTGAAAACGAGGCTGCCGCTCGACCGTTGGCCCGGCTACGACGACAGCGGCTCCCGCTCGAGACACCCTGGCCAGAGGCCTCGAACTCAGGAACGGCGCTCTCGCTCGAGACTTCTCGCAATTCAATCAAGTTGGCGGGGGCCCAGCCACGGCGACAAGGGCTCCGGCTACATACTTCCTCACGATTTACTCCGAGAGCCCATGGCCAAGAAAGGCCCCGAACTCAGGAACGGCGCTCTATCTCGAGACTTTGTCGTTATCAGGCATGGAGGCCCGGACACGGCGACAAGGGCTCCCGTTCGATACTCTTCATAGGTATTCCGAGAGCCCCTGGCCAGAGAGGCCCCCTCAGGAACGGCGGTCTCGCTCGAGACTTCCTCGCACTTCAGTCAGTGGCCGACAAGGGAGAGATTCCCCCCGAAAGGAAGTACAATCGAAGACGAAGTGGGCGGGTATCGAGGGTTGTGGTATACGGGACACGCGTGCCAGTAAGAACGATCAGTCTTACAATGATTGAATGTTAGTTACTGAACGATATTATTGTTGAATCCCTTACAGGCGCCCTGGCGCTCTCGCCGAGGCGGCTGCTGCATCTTCATTGAAAATGAGGCTCACTCTCAAGCGGTTTGGGGGACTGCCAAAACGGGCCCCCCAACAACAACAACGCTCCCGTTCGAGTTTTCTCGTTTTTTACTCAGGGCCGGTCTCGCCGCCGAAAGCAGCCGTCTGAACAAAACCAGCGCTCCCGCTCGAGATTTCCCCCCGTTTTACCTTGGACAGGCGCGCTATTATTTCTCTCATCGGCGCCGCCCCCCAGCAACAACAACGCTCCCGCTCGAGACTTCCCCCCTTTTTTACTCAAGGCGGTGCCCGTGCTCGCCGCCGACAGCCCCCGTCCCCACAAAACCAGCGCTCCCGCCCGAGACTTTCTCCAGTTTTTTGCTGGACTTGCGCCATTTTGTTCCTCCTCCTCCTCCTCCTCCTCGTCGTCGTCCTCCTCCTCTTCCTCTCCTCCTCCCTCCTCCTCCTCCTCCCCCCTCCCTTTTCTTCCTCCCTCTTCCTTCCCGCCCTCCTCCTCCTCCCTCTCCCTCCCCTCTTTCCTCCCTCCTCCTCCCTCCCTTCTCCTCCCTCTCCTCCTCCTCCTCCTCCTCCTACCTCTCCTCCTCCTCCCCTCCTCCTCCTCCTCCTCCTTCTCCTCCTCTTCCTCCGCCTCCTCCTCCTCCTCCTCCTTCCTCCTCCTCCCTCCCTCCCTCCCTCCCTCCTCCTCCTCCTCCTCCTATCCTTTTCCTCCTCCTCCTCTTCCTCCTTCTCCTCCTTCTCCTCCCTCTCCTCCTCCTCCTCTCTCCTCCTCCTCCTCCTCCTCCTCCTCCTCCTCCTCCTCCCCTCCTTTACTCTTCCTCCCTCTTCCTCCCTCCGCCCCCTCCTCTTCTCCCTCCTCCCTCCTCCCCTTCCCATCCCTCTTTCCTCCCTCCTCCTCCCTCCTCCTCCCTCCTCCGTCCCCTTTTCGTCCCCCTTGTCTCCTCCCTCCTGCTGCCCCCCTCCTCCCTCCTCCCTTCTCCTTCCGTCCTCCTTCGTCGTTTCCCCTTGTTACTTCTTCACCTGTTACTCAAGACTGGGGCCCGCGTTTCGGCATCGCCTCTGGGGGGGGGTTCTAAGAGTCCCTGTTGAACCTTAATCATTGAATAACTGTATTTTCCGGAGAGCACAGATAATCTGGAGGAGGAGGAGGAGGAGGAGAAGAAGGAGGACGGATGTGTTCCAGGGGCTCCAAGGATCGAGGGTCGAAGGATTGACGTCAGAGGTTCCACGAGAGGGCGTGGAGGGGCAGGTGGGGGACGCGAGCATGGGAGCGGCAGCGCCTGGGGGCGTGAACGTTCAGGGTCACGGGCCGAGGCCGCAGGATGGTGGCGTAACAGTTCGAACGAGGAGTCAGAACCACCTCGTCCTCGTAGGCACTGCTACTACAACTACTCCTCCTTTCTCCCCCTCGTCCTCCTGCTCCATCCTCCTCCTCCTCTCCCTCCTCCTCTCTCTCATTTTCCCTCCCCTCCTCGTCTTCTTCCGCCTCCTCCGAGATGCGGGGCGTGCGCAAGGCGATTGCGATGGCGATGTGCCGTCCGAGCTGCGGATGGCGAAATTCCTCGGAAGAGGTGGTGGCGATACGTTCTTGGGCGGGAGATCTGAGCGAGGGAACATCGGACCCCGCGCGCGCGACAATTCCTCCATGATGGGGTGTGGTGTCCAGAGATATGCATGTGACATGTGGAAGTATGGCGCATGATGGTAAACGTATTAATGTTGCCGATGTCGGTGTCAGTCGTGTTTGTGTTGTCGTTGTCGTCGTCGTTGTTGTTGTTGCTGCTCTTGTTGTCGTTGTTGTTACTGTTGCTGTCGCTGCTGATACTTGTTGCGCAGTTGTCTCTCTCCCTCTCTCTTGTCGCGCGGCCTGTGCTTGTTCCTGGTTTGCCCGCCTCTTCCTCCCCGTTCGTTGCGGGACTTGTCGTGGGTCTCTTGGGGGCCTCGGGGGCGGCATGTCGGGAACTCTTCAGGGTTCTCAGATGTTTTCGGGACCTTCGGAGGGTTTCTTGGGGGCTTCTTGTGCGCACCTTAGAAGAATGTGGGCGTCTTGGGGACAATCTTGAGAAGGGATGGCTTCCCGAGCCCCTGCGAGTTCCCCTTCTTTGGCTTTTCTGGTTTCTTTTTAAACGGTTTTGAATGCCCTTTTGGTTGTTTTGGGGGCACCTTGGGTATCTTGCTCGGCGATAGCGCGAAAGTCACAACATGTAGTCCGGGAAATCACCAGCCTGGGCCTGTTTGCGGCGTTTTTGGTGTATTGCTGGGCTCTCCTTGGGCGCCGCCCTGAGGCCGTCCTGGAAGTTGTTGTTCGAGGCCTCTCCGGCGCGTCGAGCCAGAGATGGCGTTTTTGGGGGCCTCTTGGGGCTGCCGGTTGTCGGTTGTCGGTGGCCCCGAGGGAGGCACGGAGGTGCGTTTGGGGAGCTCGTGGCGGACCCCCGCCCCCCCCCCTCTCACGGAACAGGGCAGGGGGGGCATCGTTTGCCCCATCCACATCCCCATCCCCTTCGAGGCCCCCGCCAAAATACCACCCCACTTGTGGATACACCCTTCGGAACTCGAAGGGAACGACCTAGATCCCCATTTAGGGGGGTAAATCGGCCAGTGGGGCCCAGGCCACGCCGCTGGAGATGGGGATCGGACAAACGGACGAAACTCCCGGGGAACTCCGACGCAAGCCGCCGAGGTCAGGAGAGAGTCAAGGTGCGGAGTTGGTCGGGCGGGGGGCATGGCAGTATAGAGCAGGCCGAGAGCTGTCCGAGGCCCCGAACAAGACTGGGGCGGCCATGTTTGGGCTATTTTTTTCCGGCCTCCGGGGGGCCCTCCACGGGCCGCGGGGCCAGCAAGCACAAATCTGGCCTTAGGAAAGTGGTCCAGATCCTCGTCCTCCTCCTCCTCCTCCTCCTTTTCCTCCTCCTTTTCCTCCTCCTCCTCCTCCTCCTCCTCCTCCTCCTCCTCCTCCTCCTCCCCAGTCGGGGTCCACGCATGAAACACACAGAGCGCCCGATGTCTTGGGGGGGAAGCGGGTTTTTCCTTGGCTTCTCCTCGCTGGGCAGAAGTTCACCCACACAGAATCTCATATAAGCCATCCAGCTTCGTCGGCCGAGGCTGGCTGCTCCGATCGTTTGTGGCGCCAGTCATACCAAGAGATTCGATGGCCAGTTTGCTTCGGCTCGGTACTCGAGCTTTCCCGACTCCTGGCCGCTCGTCAGGAGCAGGGGTGGAGGGACAATCATGCGGAGATGCTGTTGCTGCTGCTGCTGCTGGTCATGATGAGAATGGTGATATCGGTGGTGATGGTGATGATGGTGATGACGGCGATGCTGCTGATGATGCTGGTAATGTCGGTGATGTTGTTGATGAGGGTGCGCACGATTATTCATCTGCTGCTGCTGATGATGACGAGGAGGAGGAGGAGGAGGAGGAGGAGGAGGAGGAGGAAGTGGATACGCAGAAAAAGCGGGGAGAGACGGAGGGGGAGGAGGATGAGGAGAAGGATGAGGAGGACGAGGAGGATGAGGAGGAGGCGAGGGAGCAGGAGGAGGACGGCGACACGAAGGAGAGGGATCAGAAGGTGGATGCGGAGCACGAGCGGGGGAAGCAAGAGGAGGAGGAGGAGGAGGAGGAGGAGGAGGAGGAGGAAGAGGAGGAGGAGGAGGAGGAGGAGGAGGAGGAGGAGTGCGAGGAACAGGAGGGGGAGGATGCGGAGGAGGAGGAGAAGGGTGACGAGAAGGAGAGGCATGATGATGCTGCTGATGATGAGGATGATGATGATGATGATGATGGAGATGGTGATGGTGATGATCATGACGATGATGATGATGATGATGATGATGATGATGATGATGATGATGATGATGATGATGATGATGATGATGATGATGATGATGATGATGATGATGATGATGATGATGATGATGATGATGCTTAGGCTGATGATGATGACGCCGATGATGATGATGATGATGATGATGATCATCATCATCATCATCATCATCATCATCATGATGCTGATGATCATGATCATGTTGATGATGAGGATGATGATATGGATGATGCTGACGATTATGATGATGAGCCTCATCATCATGATGATGGTTGAGGTGCCCTTCAACCTCCCGGACTTCCCCGTGCCGACGCATCTCCTGTCGACCGACCCGGCTATTGGGGTGGAGCAGGTGGCCCAGGCTTGTCGCTTGCTTTAGGCCGAAATATGATTGGTAGAGGAGAAGGCGGAGGATGAGGAGGAAGAACAGCAGCTGAGGGAGGAGGAGGAGGAGGAGGAGGAGGAGGAGGAGGAGGAAGAAGAGGAGTTGGGGCAGCAGGGATAGCGGCAGAGGGAGGGAGAGCAGAAGGAGGAGGATGAGGAGGAGCAGGAGGAGGATCCCAACGGGCCAGCACAAGCCTGCGCTGCCCGCGCAATTCTTCGCCCTACCACGCGGCGCTGTTCTTGTCTGGAGATCCACGGCACGCGGCTCGCGGGCCGGACGTTTCTCTCATATGGTGCCGCTCCCCCTCTCGCTGATGTTCCTGCTCCTGCTTTTGTTTGCTCCTGTTCCCTCTCCCCTGTTCTCGAGCCTGTGTGCATCTGTGTCCACTTGGGGTGTCTGAAATCGGGGGTGGACAGACCTCCTACCCTGACGCGTCGATTAGCGAATCGGCCGTTTTCGGTTCGCGAGAGGGCGTCGCGGCCGTCATTTTTGCGGGTCCAGGTCCGTCGGTTTCGGGCCCAGGTCGTTTTCACTAAAGGGCGGTTTACTACAGGGAGGTTTGTCCACCGCCGATGAAATCTTGCAATTCTGAGGCTGGGTCCCAGCTGCTAGCACGCAGACCCTGTTTGGCAGACGAGTCCAGCGGCCTGGTCGGTCCAGAAGGGAGCGGACCTGGCGGGACGGTGTGGCTGGGCTATCTGGGACGAGAGCCCCGCCCACCGCCGGAGGGGGGAGGCAGAACGGCATTCCATGCTGGGCCTTTCCTGCTCTGGCACCACGGCCCCTCCAGAGCGGACGGCCACTGTCGTCCCGTCGCCCAGGCTTCAAGAGTTCCGCCAATTACGGCGGTGTGGAGCCCAATTTGATCCTGCTTAGTATAGGCACGATGTTGGGAAAGCCTCGGAATAAGGGAGGCACGATCCTCCAAGACAGGTGGTCAGACCTGGTGTGGTTGGCGGGATCTGTTGCGCCGGACAAGCGACGGCCGAGAGGTCGCAGGCGACATTACACGCACGCAGGTCACCACGGCGCAGGCGCGCACGCGGCCCGATCGCGCAGGAAGCCCCACCTGGATGAGGGCACCGGTGCTCGCCGGTGTGGCAACCTTGCCCCCTAGGGGAGCCGTTCTGGCTCAAGCCATGTTGGCTCGAGCGCGCCCGCTAATGGCGCAGAGCATGCTGCTGGACGCGGCGCGTCGGCGCAGCGGCTCCGCTGCGGTGGGAGCCGCGATGGCTCGCGCTCGCTTCTCGCCGCTGAGGCTTGTTGCAGAACCTTGCTCGACTTACCAGAGCGCTAGGAGCGTTCACCATCACCATCACCTTTCCCGACGCGGGTGCCGTGGAAGCGGCGCCCTCCCCGAGCGGTCCCTCCTGCGTCGGCCCTTGGCGCGCCGCGTGGAGCGTGTGGGCTAGTCGACTCCCATGCCGAGGCGGCTTGTTCCACGGGTATGCCAGGGGACTGGGCCTCTCAGACAGGGTCGGAGTAGATGGCGTCGGAGGATCGCACCGCATCGCAGATGCATCGCCGATGCGGTTCGATGTGGAGCCAGAATTTCTCCACGCCGATGGCGCCGATGCATCGCCGACGTCGCCGACGCATCGACGATGCAACGTCTATGTGACGCGAACCTCCGATATCATCTAGTTACTCGGGCCCCTTTCTAGGAGGCATCCAGGGACGGAGCGCCAGACAGGCGCATGGAGTCGCACCCACAACGTGCAGCGCTCTGGCGCGCACGGCGTTTACGACTACACTGGCGACCCATGCCAAGAAGCACCCTGCTTGCCTCTGGGGTGCCCTGGGCTTCTTGGGGTTTGATGGTTTAAATACGGGAAGCCTGGGGTTCTCACACTAGAAAGAAGGTTCCTTGTGGACTGGCCTCCGCTGCTCAGGAGCGAAAGAAGGACGTACACGTACATGAATCCACGCTGGTTTCGAGAGTACGCATTGCCCGAATGTTCGAATTGGTCAGTCTCGCGGATCGAGTGGCCGTGTTTACATACATAGTTTGGCGCGTACGTCCTTTGTGGGCTCCCTACCTGCACTCATCGCTCATGCAGCTGGTGCAGTGCCTACGGCTGCTTGTGGGTGCTGCCGTCCGTGAGCTACGCGGGGCCGTCGGACCCTTCTGCTGCTGCACCTGCTGCTGCTCTTGATCACCATTCAACGTTCCCCGCTCTTCTTCCGTCATCATCATCAGCATCAGCATCACCATCATCATCAGCAACAACAGCAACGACATCATCAGGGATATAGTTAACAACCTCGTCATCATTCTGACCTTCTCCTTCTATTTCTTCTTCAACTCGCCCTTCCCTTCCGCTGAATCGTGAGCTGTCCCGCAGCGCCACATGTTACGTCCGTTCGGTGCCCTTGCCTACCTGGGTGCTCCGCTGACCCGATGGTAGGCCATACTTTGGCCTCTCCTTCCGCTTTCTCCACCTCACCGCGCCCACGTGCCCTTCATTCAACTGCATGTGTTCCGCGCGCTAGCAATTAGCTTCCAGCTTTCTCGCACCGAGCGCAGCGATGCGGAGTGTCGTGACAGGCGAGGCCGTCGCTCAAAAAGCAGGGTGAACATGTAAGTCATTCCTCGTTCGGGGAGTGCCCGACACATTTTTTCAGAGCTGATGAGCGCTCCAGCCACGGTCTCCATTCATATTCGGCGATGACGTGCTCGATCGATCGGAGGTTTTGGATTCTGGGTGGGAAGCTCTCAACTGCGCGCGCTCTCAAAGGGGGAGGGGGGGTGAGGCTCGATGAGCTTGGATCTGGAAGAGCAGAAGTGCGGGGCGGGGCGGGAAGAGGGGCCAATGTGGAGGAGGAGGAGGAGGAGGAGGAGGAGTAGGAGGAGGAAGAGGAGGAGGAGGAAGAGGGGGAGGAGGAGGAGGAGGAGGAGGAGGAGGAGGAGGAGGAGGAGGAGGAGGTGGAGGAGGAGGAGGGGGAGGAGGGAGGAGGGAGAAGGGAGGAAGGAGGAGGGAGGAGGGAGGAGGAGGCAGAGGAGGAGGAGGAGCAGGAATGGGGGAGGCAGGTTGAGTTTGACGGAACCCGTCGCTCACTAGTCGCCATGGTGCTCGGAATGATAGGGTGGCAGGCCTTCCGTCTCGTCGCTATAGCTGCGCCGAGGCCATCGCCACCACGTTCTGCAACTGGCGTGCTGGCCTGGAACTTGTCAAGGACCCCGCCTGCTCGATTCTAGATCGCAGCTGGGACGACCACCGGTCGCGTCAGCAGTTCGCTACTTAGGGGCTCAAGAAATTGGGCTCCATACAGACGGGGGTCAGCGAGAGCGCCAGATCTCGCGGGATCCTGCAGGGCCAGCACATTGATCGTGGTTCGGGTGCAGGATCCTTCAGGGTCCTGGAGGATTCTCGCAGGATCCTGAAAAGCCTGATTGACCCGGATCTGGGTGACCTGGGTCAGTAGATCCCCGGATTCTGGCCGCGCTGGGCCTTCAGATCCGGGCGGTTCAACTTTTTCTCACACCAGGCATGTTCGTCCAGTTTCGGGCCCCAGGGCCATCACAGATCGACCCAGCTCGAAACATACCGAAGGTGGCGTCTGGGGCTCCGAACGCGACCGCTTTCCAGGTGTTAGGTTTTCGTCCCGGATTGATGGTTGATGGCCCAAGGGCCTGGAAACTGCCCCTCCGAAGCCATTTTGGCTCAAGCCATGTTGGCTCCAGCGATTTCGCCTAAGGGCAAGGCCGTCGCAGCCGCAGCCGCGGACCAGAACGATAATGGATTGTCAAAGCCACGTCGATGCCACACGGCAGGAGTGTAGACTTGCCTATGGATGGCGTGCCTGTGTCTGGGCCTGTGGTGCACACGGGTTGCGACCCTGGGCGCCGTGGCATTACGGCTCTGCGATTCCGCTGCTCCGAGCTGGGCAGCCCTCGAGTGCCCGCTGCTCGTTGCAGGTGTGCGCGGGCCCGCGAGGGCAGGCCCCGGAGCCCCGGCCGGGGGGCCCGAGGCCGACGGGGGCGCCGGCACCGCGAGGGCCAGTCAGGCCGAAGTGGCGGCCGAGCCTGGTGATGCTCGGGCCCGCGGGCGCGTCACGCCCGCACTCAGAGAGGTGCCCTTCCCATCAGTGGGTGTGCCGCTCGTTCATGTCCACATACCCAAGACTGGGGGCAGCACGCTGGATTACCACCTGCGGCACACCGCCCAGGTGCTTAATTTGTCGCTGGTGGACGAGAATGGCGAGGCACTGCGGACAGACTGGGCCACTGGAACCTCTTACAACCATCTGCCCAGTCAGTCGACTTTTGACAAGGCGCATGTGTGCAGAGGAGCTGATGGCCCCAAGGATCCGAAAGTGCAGGAATTCCGCGCGCTTGGCGTGCGCATGCATAGTGGTGGGCCATTTTAAACCAAGCAAAGTGTTACCGGTTTTGAGACGCATGGAAAGTCCCAGCAGTCCTATGAGAACGAAGCGCTCGCGGAGAGAAGTGTGCGGAGCAATTGGGGATCGCGCGTTTTGCCCAAATGCATTACGCAGTGACGTGATTCCTTCAGCGTTCGTGAAACCAAGATGCATCGTTATACTTCGAGAGCCTCTTGCTAGATCACTGACGAACTTCTATCATTTTGATTCTTTGCACAGGAATGGAGCGCCGTCGAACTGTGAGAGCATCTTGGGACTTACCGAATGCGGCTTGTTTTCGCAGATGACATTCGCCCAACAGTTAAAGATAATGATGGCCCGGAACATTCAGTTAACATGGCTCGAGTCTGTTCGGAAGAACCGCTTGGGCAAGCCAATTGCCCAGTGGGTAGATGACGTCTGGGACACGCTGTCACGCTGCGTACTTCTCATGCTGGACAGGTGGAGCGATAGTATTGCAATGTTCAACAAGATGTTGCCTTGGGCGGTACCTCTTCAGAACGCCCAAGCCCGGCAGCCCAACCCGCGGCGCAAAGCCGACAGCGCCGCAGGCGTGGCAGCAGGAGCCCCAGCAGTACCACCTGAAGGAGCGGCTGGAGCTGGAGGAGAAGAAGAGGGACCAGCAGCGGGACCTCCCGACTTCAGTGACCCGAAGAACGTGGATGCCTATATCCAGCGCGCGGCGGCCATCAAGGCCAGGGCAGCGGCGGCGGAGGCGACCAGAGCCAAGCCGACAGCACCAGCTGCGTCCACACCATCGGCGGGAGCACCTTCGAAGGCAACGTCGGAGCCAGCGATGGCAAAGGCGAAGTCGGCAGGAGGGTAACCCAGAGCACGTACGAGTCAGAGTTCATGTCGGCCAGCGCAGCCATGTTTCTTCTTCGGGAGTGAGACCAGCTATGGCCCCAAGATCAATAAGTATACCCAGAAGTCGCACTTCGATCTCATGGGTCTTGCTGAGCATCACTTGACGCAAGTGATGTGCCAGAGGGAGGAGAAGCGGCTGCGCAATTTTGGATGGAGATCTGAAGGGACCAGGGCTGCTGCAGCGACATCGGGGCGCTCGGACAAGGGCGCGCACGGGGGCGCGTGTTGGCTTCGTCGAGCGACCTACACAACAACGCAGAACCGATCAGAAAGGGGTTGCCACATGAGCTGGAGGTGTTGATTACGTCGGGTCCGTTACCACACCTATGTGAAAGTCTGGCACCATAGATTTTTCTATTCATCAGGCGAACGCATGGTTTGATTCAGTCCTCCTATACATCGGCATAAGTCCGGTCTCGGACAGCGAGTTGAATTTCTGCGAAGGGCACCTCGCAACTCGAAACATCACATTACTTTCGCCTGTTACCAAGTTGATGAAACGTAAGGGATAAGCGCCCAGCCCTCCACTGACAGATGTGCGCGGGCACAGTCTTAATATTGATCCAAATCGTGTTGCGAGCGCACCGCTTGTGCGTTAGCAGTTACTCAGTTGCGCGACCGCGCATAAAGCAGGACTGCGAAGAGATGCCGAAAAACCAAATTGGAAACTTCTTTGTCCTTGCCTTCGATGCTGTGTGTCACGTCGTCGGAGGGTAGGCCCGCATCAGCCAGGCCACTGCTGCTACTGCACCTCGCCTTGCCTTTGCGCCAAAAGAAAGCTTGGAAACTGCCCCCGAGAACAGACTTTGAGGAAAAGCACCCAGATTGAAGAAACACAGATCGTAGGAGATTAGGTCGAGGGCCAAGGGCAAAACTTGACAGCGGCCCTTAGTCGGTCTGTTGAACCGACCGCGAGACCTTGAGATCCGACGTTCTTGGCAACATCGCGAAACATTACGACTGGAGCCCTGGGCGCCATCTCGCTGCGGCATTTCTCGAGCCAGATCGATTTGTAATGGTCCCCGGAGCCCAGTGTTGAAATATTGCAAGACCCGGATCTCAGACATCCCGAGACATCCGGTGCTCCAATGTTTTCGATGTGTTGACCCACCGCGAGGCTTGAACCTCTTTCTTGGAGCTGGCTTTTCATCCTGAGTCGTTTCTTGAAGGGCACTATAGGCCCGTTTGGGGCCCCTGGAGGCCAAAAATGGTCAAACGTTGACCGTTCAATTCTTGTCCGGATCCTCGTATCGGCACCACCCAGCAATACTTATATTATGCGCGTCGGCCACGCAAGTGCGACGCGCACGTCCGGCAATACCATACACGCTCGGGCTCTTTCTGGCCATGCCACTCTGGGAACGATATACTACAAGCTGTATGAGTGTGTATGTGTGTCTGTGTGCGCGCTTGTGTTCCCAGATAGCTCTTTGGAGCTCACCGGGTCGTAGATTCAAGTGGCTTACGCCATGCCGCCGACCCCCACAAGAAGTGAGTGATTGAGACAATCGTGGATGGGTCAGGAGACTTTTGGATGAATCCGAGGGTCTGTTGGGATGCCTCTCTGGGGCCTCTTGGAGAACTCTTGGAGGCATCTGGGAGGCTTTGTGGGGCCTCGTGGGGGCTTCTGGGGGGGCTTCTCGGCGGCGTCTTGGAGGCCTCGGTCACATTCCCGGTCTGGGGTCCCCCAAGGGGGGGGGGGGGGATGGGGGGGGGGGGGGGGGACAATCTCGCACGCCTGAAGACCCACAAGGGGTTGGCGGATAAGAAGCCGGCAGGCAGGGACACGCCAGCTCCTCGCCAAGGCCAGGCATCCCCGGAGCAGGCTGCTTGAACTTGCAGCGTGTCCCGAGAAGCGTTTCCGTACTCGTTCCCAATACGCGTGCCCCGAAACTCTCCAGAAGCTCCTTCGAAGCTCCTTGGAAGCTTTCTTCTCGAAGCTTGCAAGCTCCCCAGGCATGCTTTCCAGCGTCCTTGCGAGCGTCTCCCAGAAGATTTCTGGAAGCTTGCAAGCTCCCCAGGCATGGTTTCCAGCGCCCTTCGGGCGCCCTGCTATCCGGGTTTTGGACTACACAAGTGTGTGTGTGTGTGTGTGTGTGTGTGCATGTGTGCATGTGTGCATGTGTGTGTGTTGGGTCAGACATGCGTTTCCAAGGGAAGCACATTGATGTTCTTATGCGTCCCATCGGGTCTCCCCAGAGGTCCGAGGTTCCGGAAAAGTTGGAGCTGTTTTTTTGTTCATTTCTGCCTCCACCGTCAAAAAGAGAGTCAGTACATGAAAACCTGCCCCATCTGGGAAAGCTGTCCAGATCTCGTGGGGCCCACGCATCGACAAGTATTGGAGCACCAGATGTCTGGGTCTGGGGCGTCGCGTGGTGAGCCTGTCGGGCCGGCTGAATGGCACAGAACCCCGACGGGTCGGACGAAGGACTCCGCCGTGCCTCCCTGGTCGGTCGGGCACGTCGAGGTGTGCCCGCCCGGCCTCCGTGGCAGTGTCCTCTGCCTGTGGAGCTCGCGCGGGCGGCAGCGGGGGGTGGAGGCCCTCCTCCCTCCTCCCCAGCCCTCCCTCCTCCCTCCCTCCTCCCTCCTCCCCTCCTCCCTCCCCCCTCTCTCCTCCTCCCTCCTCCCCAGCCTTCCCTCCCTCCCTCCCTCCCTCCCCTCCTCCCTCGTCGTCCTCCCTCCCTCCCTCCCCTCCCTCCCTCCTCCCTCGTCGTCCTCCTTCCTCCTTCGCTCCCGCGCCCTGTCCCCCCGGGAGAGAGAGGCGCGGCGGGACCGCGCTGGGCTCTCCCAGGGGCCCCGGGGCCTCCTGCGGAGGGCGCGCGACGGGCGTGGCCAGGGCGGAGGGAGCGCCACGTCGGTGCTGCTGCGTGCCCGGCCAGAAGCAGGAGCCTGTTTTTCTTTGGATTCGGGCAAGTTTACTTGCATGGACTGGGGGGGGGGGCTGAGTCTGAAGCAAGCCGAAAACAATTCGACGTGCGGAAATCACGTAAGTCGAAAGGCACTTGCACGCTCGTGTTCGATTGAAGAGGGGCGAGGGGGGAGAGGGGGGGGGGGGGGGCGAACGCCATGCAAGTAAGCTTGCCTGGATCTAAAGAAAAACAGGCTCCATGTCGGAGCTGCTGCGTGCCCGGCCGGAAGCAGGCAGCCGACGAACGAACGCGTCTTGGGTCGTCGCGGCCAGGCGCACCGCCGGGGCGTCCGTGAGGAGTCGGCCCCTCGCGGGGCAGTCAGCGGCAAGGGGCGGCCGGCAGCAAGGCAGGGGCCAAGCCGGCCAGAGGTGGGACGGCGAGGGGCCAGCAAGACAAGGGGAAGGGGGCCAAGCAACGAGAGGGGGAAGCGAGGAGCGAGGAGTATCAGCGGAACGACGGACAACCCGCATCCATACACAGGGGTGGGAGAGGGCTATGGGAGCGTGCTATCGGGCGGGGGTCCCCACTCGACCGGCTCCCCCGGGGGTCCAACAACCCACGCCCGTACCCATAGCCAGTCCTCCTTCCGGCCCCCTATGGGTGTGGGTGTGTGCTACTCGTTCGTCTGACGGTCGAGGTTCGGGGTTTTCCGCAATTTTCGATGGTTCCTGGAATTTTTCCAGCCTCGGGATGCCTTCCAGCGGCTGCGCCTCGCCGAGAGCGTCTCGGGGGTGCCCAGATCCTCCCGAACGGCCGCCAGAGAGCTGAGTTCTGGCCCGAAAATTCAAGGGGCAACGGAGGGGCGCAGCCATAGAAATGAGGCTCCGACAAAAATTAGAGCGGCTGGGGACGAAAACCGGCCCTGGGGAATTGGTCCAGACTTCTCGGGGTGCACGCATTCAGAAAAAGAAGCGCCGGATGGTGGGGAGTCTGCAGGCAAGGCGTCGCATCGTGAGGCGGCGCCACATGCCGCGGGCCTGTCGGTAGAGGATGCTCCTAAGGGTGCATAGGAGAAGACAGATGAGGACGAGGAGAAGAAGGAGGAGTAGAAGGGGGATAGGGGAGGAGGAGGAGGAGGAGGAGGAGGAGGAGGAGGAGCATGGTGAGGAGGCAGAGGAAGAAGACGAGGAGGAGGCGGGGTGAGGGGGGCCTGGGAGTGCTCAGGAGTGGCTGTAATTCCCCGACGGTGCCGGGGCGAATCGTGACATGACCGGGGGGAGGGGAGAGGAGGCGGGGGAGGGTGGAGGCGTTCGCGGGCGTTATCGCGAGTTATTAAAAAGAAGCCCGAGTCGCGGGTTCCCCCCCGCTCGGCGCAGCCGGGCCGCTCGGAGCCGAGGCGTTCTCCGTCAACCCGTTTCGATCTCGAGGCTTGAGCGTTGCAATCTTTTCACGCTGGGCGTCTTCGCCCAGTTTGGGGACCCTGGGCCATCATAGATCGATCTGGCTAGAGACGTGCAGCAGACAGATGGGTCAGGGGCTTCAGTCATGCTTTTTCGCGACGTGGTATTTTTTTGGGAGGCGTCGGTCCTCCACAATTGCACACTATGAGTATTACTCTCCTCGCACCCCTGAATGCGTGCTGAGAGTACCCGCCCCCCCCCCCTCCGCGTTCGGGTGTTTACACATGTTTTGCGTATAGTGGCTTTTCTTGTGTGTTTTCTCGGTTCGATTCCTCCGCGTCCTATTTTTACACACTTGGTTTGCGCGAGCTGGCTTTTCATAATATTGTTTTATACTATCCGATGGTTTAAAGTTGTTCAAGCATGATGATCTCGCTGCAGCGCCGCCCTCATTTTCGGATCGCTGCTGTGCTCCCGTTGATCCGAATGGCGCTCCCGCCCCAGCGTGGTCTACTTGTCTGGATCCCACAGATCTCGCAGGACTCGCAGGCACCACAGGTCCCACATGTCCCACGGGACCCACAAGCGTCGCAGGTCGCCCCTCAGGTCTCACCAGTCTGACAGGTTCCGAAGGTGGCTTACAAGTCCCACATGCGTCGCAGGTCTCGCATGCCCCACAGGTCCATGAGGTCCCACAGGTCCCACAGGTCCGAGAGGTGTCGCATGTCTCACAGGTCCCACGGAGGTCCCCTGCAGGTCCTGCCAGTGCCACGGGTTCCACAGGTCTCGCAGGTTTCACAGGTCCCACAGGTCTCGGAAGTCCCACAGGTCCAGCAGGTTCCATAGTTTCCACAGGTGTCGCAGGTCCCACAGTCTTCACAGGCTACTGAGTTACACAAGGTCGCACAGGTCCCACAAGTTTCTCTTTGCCGACTGCGCATAACACGATGGGGTCTTTTGTGGATTTCCAGGTCGGCTATGGTACGCGTCCGCAGATAACAAAAAAATCAGCGCGCTGGAAAGGGACGAGAGGGCCGGATGGCATGTCAGATGTGGTGCAAGCGAACCTAGCTTGCCTCCCTCCCCTTCCCCTCCGCCCCTCGTCCACCTCTCCATGCCCCTCCACCTCCCCGTCCCCACCTCCCCTTCGAGACGCCCCCTCCCTGTCCCTGGTCGCTTTCTGATGAACCTCTCCCTGTCGCACTCGTGCCGTAGGGCGGGCCGGGCGTTTCGCCGGAGACTTCCTCACCATCCGTGATTGTGAAGCTTGACATCCGCAAAAGTTTCAAACATGGACAGCGGGTGGTTTTCATGGAGGGCTGGTGGTTGTCCCCCCTCTCCCCATTCTCCTTCTCCTCATCTTGCCTCCTCAGCCGCTTCCTCGCCCCCCCCGTCCCCCCACAAGGGTGTGCTCGGCCGCGCGCGCGCGCGCCCTGGCGGAGGACTTTTGGATGAGCGGGCTCCTGTCTCTGGAGGAGATCCAGACGGCGCCGCACTGGGAGGGGGTTTCGGGCGGGAGCATCAGGAGGCAAGGGGGAGGATGATGATCATCATCGGAACAACATAGGGACGGAGGAGGAGGAGGGGGAGGAGGAGGAGGAGGAGAAGGAGGAGGAGGAGTAGGAGGAGGAGGAGGAGGAGGAGCAGAAGGAGCAGAAGGAGTAGAAGGAGGAGGAAGAGGAGGAGGAGGAGGAGGAGGAGGAGGAGGAGGAGGAGTAGCGGCAGCGTGTGTTGTTGTTGGAGGAGGAGGAGGAGAAGGGGAGGAAGAAGGACCAGGAGGAGAGAGCAGCAGCAGCGGCAGGATAGGGACGATGAGGAAGAGCAGTAAGAACGAGAAGGAAGAGGAAGGATCGGGAGAGGGAGGAGGAGGGCGAGGACGAGGAGGAGGACAGTGAGGATGACGAGGAGGCGCAGCAGCAGCAGCGTGCCCACTGCTGGCCGCGAGCAGCGTCGCCTCCAGCCAGGCGCTGCCCTTCCTGGTGAGGCACACCCAGGTGGAGGACGCCGCCCTGCGGGTCATCCGCGTTGGCGCCACGCTCTTCACTCCGCAG